CGGTTGTTGGCTGACACAGAATTTCAGTTCGACACACCTATTTTCCGAAAGCCACCCAATGTCAACACCAATGAAAGGTATATTACAGTTAACTTGAAAATTTCATTTCAGCTTTTCTTCTGTCGCTTCAACATCGAATACCTACATTCCAATACCCGTTGACATGTAAGTTCAATTTCATTTCAAATATTACTTGCAGGTGCCCGAGGACTGAGGAGACAGTTGCTTTCACATCTAGTAGTTTGGAAGAGTTAAGGGCTTAACGTGAAAGCCAGTCACAAACGGAGTCACGTCTCGCTGCGATTGAGGCTAAACTCTCGCGACTCAAAGTGCTCGACAGCAATGACCAGATTGTCTCCTGTCTGAATTCTTTTCAAGTCTTGAAGTCTTGAGGCAGATAGCAGTTGGACAGCGACGCCGTTATGTCATCCTTCGAGACGAACTTGTCCGATGAGGAATACCATTGTAGTGTGTCTGCCGACCTTGGCACTTTAGTTAACAGCAGTATCCAAAACTCCGTTGATCGTATCATGAATTTTTTGCTGGAGCCGACATACAGCTCACATTTTTCATGGGCTGCTACCAAGAAAAAGAAGCAATTCAAGGACACTAAAACGTGTAACCTAGTGATCCCTAAGTGAATTTGTCTTCATTGTATTTTTTAGGAACCGTTAACAGTTACCACCAACAAGGCAGTGCTGATAAACGTAGTACAGTGGGCGCCATCGTGACTTCCATTCAACGTTGGTTCCATAACAGTAGTGACGGACTGAAGTCGAGAATGAGAAAACGGTGAAGTTCCCCTTTGACAGTTCTCTATTTTTTTCCAAATTTTGTTTTCAGATCACAGCCGACGAAAACAAGGAAAACAGACCAGATACATAAAGCACACGGATGAATGTTTCTGGTGATTTATATGGTGTTTGACTTTTATGACATGTCGAAGGATTATAAATTCATTTGCCAAGATTATTAAATATATGTTCCATTAAAATCAACTGCTTTCTGACATCGTGAGTCGTTGAGCTGCTGCCAGCATGCTGTTTTCTGAGACGAGCTGTGTGCATAATAGATTTGACTCTATGTTGGCTGTCGACTAAGGGTTCAATGCGGAACCGTAGGCGCTTAGTCCCAGGCTTTAGTCAGTCTTAGAAAGTTAGGGCACAATGCAAACTTCGGGGACATTGTAGAATGTTTGGGCCGACTTCGGGCGCATAGAAGAATGTCTGGGGTAGACGTCGGGAGCATTGCTGAATGTTCGGGGCAGGCTTAGGGGGCTTGTTCCAAGTTAATCTGTGCGCTCCCAAAAAAGCAAGCTGGGTAGGTCAAATTACACTGGTAGTCTTCAAAGGTTTTTTCGTATGAGGTGGGTGTCTTGCTCTATGTAATGTTAATGTGGGATTTGCTATTAATTTCCCCTTATTTAACTCTATCTACCACACATTCAAATCAGAAATACTTATTCCAAAACTTCTTTGGTGTGAAAGGTGTAATTGAATGGTGATTTTCTCCCTATGCTCACCTTTGATATGCTGAGTGGTTTTTCCATTTTGTAAATGTTTAGTGACCGAGTCTGCATGTTTCATCACAACAGCAGCAGCAACATCCAGCGCCAATCACCATCAACGGGAGGGATTTGAAGGAGGTTACTTCTTTCACTTATCTAGGGAGCATTGTCTCAACTACAGGAGGAACGGACGAGGATGTCAAATCGAGAATCGGGAAGGTGAGAAACACATTCATCAACCTGAAACCAATCTGGAAATCTTCGTCACTCAGCATCAACAACAACATTCTTCGGATTTTCAATACAAACATCAAGTCAGTTCTTCTATACGGATCAGAAACTTGGCGGGTCACAAAGAATATTTCCAACAGCCTGTTGCAGATCTTTATCAACAACAGCTGTCTTCATTCTATACTGAAGATCAGATGGCCGGAAAGAATCACCAACAAGAAACTATGGGAACAAACAAAACAAGAACCAATCGCTCAACAAATATGCAGGAGAAAGTGGAGATGGATTGGACACTCGCTGAGGAGACCGCAGGGTGACATCGCGCGTCAGGACCTCGAGTGGAACCCGAAAGGGAGGCGGCGACTGGGACGCCAAAAGTGACATGGAGGAGATGGTGTGAAGAGGAGCTGAAACAGAATGGACTAACATGGATGCAGGTGAAAATTACAGCAGAAGAAGGAAACAAGTGGAGGCATGCAGTTGAAGCCCAATATTCCACTAGGAACCCAAGGGAACAATAATAATAATAATAATACAACTGCCAAAAGTACTCAGGTTAACAGTGAAGAGTTCAGAAGACTATGGATTTTTACCGTCTTCTCATAACAGTATTGCGCATTCCTTGCACTTTTCTAGTTAGTCGCATTGTAACGGTTGAAGACGAGAGACTTGGCAAAGTTATGTTTATTTGGAATTTGGTATGGCTATACGTAGCGAAATTAAGTACACCTTATCTTCAACGCACCATTTGCACAGATCTCCCGTGTTGTGCTATTTCGGTCCTTCATATTGTGTTTCTTTCTGTTCCTTTCACGTCTCTCTTATTTCCCCGCAACACTGATTCATTTACTTTCTCTGACGTCAAACGAAATCCCCCTGGAATTTGATGTTTTTATATCGATGAACGTCTCTTCACATACTCCTGATAAATTCTATCAGTAGCACACGACACAGCATAATATCCAGATAGCAAGTCAGTTCCTTAAGAATCATGAGTGAGCAAACGATTCCAGATTTATATTCGCGTCATCATTTTTGATGACATTTTGGCGTAATTCTCGACATGACTGGCTGAAACTGAATGGAACCATTTGAATAACACTGCCTGAGTTTTAGGTGTTATATTGCTATGATAGGAGTTTTAATAATAATTGACAACGAACAGTAAACATGTTTGTCATAGGAGATTGTGAGTTCAGATTACGCAAAGATGCTGCTGAAAGTTTCATCTATTATTATTCGGTGGCTCATTTGAACGTGATATGTTAATATTCTATACACGCCATACTCAGACACTTCAGTCGATGGGATATTCTGGTTTCCGCAGTTTATCGAAGCCTAATAAATGCACATTATACTCGTGACAGTTCTAGCTCTGACTATCATACAGCTAACTACTGAACTTGAAGTGTAGAACGCTATATTAGTCAGATTAATGTACCATATTTAATCATAAGAATTATATTGTTCTTCCTTAAAATCCAGTTTTAATGATAATTGGGACCTATTTTTATCCCGGTATACCCGCTCGTATGTCACTATTTCAAGTTGAATCACCTGTGCTATGAATTATACTACCCAGTGATTCTGGTTCAGAAGATTACCAGCCAACTATTTTTACCGGAAAGTTTTAGCAGCTGTTCCCATGGTATTTTTAGCACAGTTTATCTGTCACATCATTATGCCCATACAAATTAAATGACACAGACTATTGTGTAATTGTGTACGAGGGCACGCATAACAGTCGATTTAATCTCTAGAATATTTACTTGAACGAAGTTCGCCACCTTGAACCCAACTTCACTCCTGTTTTATGATAAGCTAACTGGTACGGATCGACTGGATTGATCTATAAAACTGACTTAATAGTTTCCTATACCAAACTATATTTCGCATCCGAGTACACGATGCTGACAACGATTAGGATGTTCGATGTAAGTCCGATTCTTCAGAGATGCAAATTGTTTACAGATCCAAAAAGACCAGTACTGGATATTCGCCTTGTATCAGTGTGTCAAAGGAGTATTCAAAAGGAAGAGCACTATGCTAACTACCATGGTTGATCGCAGAAGTGACTTATCTGCTCATTATTGGCACATATCAGGTGTAAAATAACCTTCATTACTTAAAAATCGGTTTCGGATACAGAACTTATGAAGTTTCAACTATCGTATACTGCAGAACAAAATTTGACTTAATCCATGAGAATGAAGTATTTTAACCTCAGACAGGAGTGTTATATTTTGATCTGATGCTCACTAGCGAATGGCCCTATTCAGGCAGTTACCTGGTGTTCACCTGGAGACATGGATATAAGTAAAGATAAGAAAGTCTACCATTATACTTCTCTTTCGTTCAACAGCTCTCAGGTCAATGGGAATAGTAGTTGCAAAGTCTCTGAACATTCACTCATAGAGGAGCAGTTGAACTGTGCTTTGAATTGTACTATCCAGTGGTTCCAACTTGAAAGATTGTCAGCGAGCTACTTTTATCGGAAAATTCTACTGGCTGTTTTCATTGTCAAGTCACTCTGTTGAATCCACCTGTCTTTCGCATATTCAACGTACCCTTTACATTTCCTTTAGCGATCATTTGCAGTAGGTGAGAAAAAAGCTACAATAGTTAAAGTTTTTGGTCTGGATAAAGTGGTTTCGCAAGGTTACAGAGAACTTCACTTTTGCAGGGCAGTCACGTGTCTTTCAATATCCCATTTCCAGTCAAACTATTCATGGTTGTCCAGTATTGGTTAGTAGGGATTTCGTTTGATTGGTTGGACGATTTCATCATGAGCTGACATCGGTTAGAGAATCACTGGAAAACTTGGGAGTACTGGACAGCTGTTTCATTCTGTTTTAGGACTCTTCACTAGTACCCACCCACCACAGGGGTTCGAACCCAGCGTCATCTGGTTACAAGGAGAGCTCGTAGACCATTAAGCCACTGGGACCAGATCCACTGTCCTATAAATCTTTACTTCCGCCAATTCACGACATAGCGCGACCACTTCGCAATGTCCTCTTGGATGAGTTACTGTCCTCACCTTCGAACTGCTGTACCCTACTGGTCCCATAACTAAAGCACATCTTTAAAATATCTTTTGAACTATACTGTATCCCTATAGTCGTTCCTCAAAATAAACCCGAAATAAGAAAAAGAATATGAATACCACAACTTCGAAAATATATTTAATTGCCAAATATTGTTTTTACTTTCATAAAAAATATGATGTATCTTCAAAATTTACATAGTCGATATTCAGTTCTCAATCTAACAAACCATTTTCGAGCATTAACTTTGCGACTCTTTCTTCTATTTCAGCATGTGATGGCTGTTTAAACTGCTTTTTAAACGGTTTATGCTTTTTTACCGCTTTCTTCTTACTTGTATTTACATTTTTCGAATTATCCACTTTAAGGGATACTGACTCCTTATTCGATTTCACCATGTCATCTTTGTCATTATTTAATCTCAACAATTTTAATTGTTCACAAAATGTTGAAACTGTTGTTGTGGCATTTGCTGAAGATTTAACAAATGATACAGTCGATTGAACATCATTTAAGATTTTTAAATAATTGTCAAACAAATGTAGGGCATCGTTAACATATTTATTATTGTCTTGATAATTCATTAGTTTCTCTATAATTATTTCACGTACATAGTCATGACGTGCATTACATGATTGAATTTGACTTATACAATAATAAACTTCATGAAAAAGATATCCACTTGGAAATATACAGTAGACATGCGGTAAAACTAGACAAGTTGGTAGTTTTTCTCTTTCATTGTCAGTTACCAAAGAATTTAATAGATTAACTAGAGTAGATATAATCATATAATAAATCTGCAGTTGACCGTATACATGTACAATGTGTATATTTAACTTATGTTGATCACTAATCCCACGTTTCTTTTTATTATTTGTGTTCAGTTGTGTTGTAAAATAATTTGCACAATTATGAAAATGTTTCTTGATTGGTTTACAATAGGATAGATGAGAATAATTACAGTGAGATATTAGAAGGTATGTACATATGCAAATCGTGCTGAATGTAAGAGAGACTGGACACAAAGTGATATCATCAGTAGTTGATAAACATTTACTCCGATAGATGAGAACATTTAGTAGAGCGACAGATGTTAACCAACTGTTATTGCACAACTTTGTAGGATTGTGTATCAAACCTAAATATTCTTTCAGAAAGGCTAAACGACGATCTGTTTCATTTATCTCACTGTTTGGTAGTAATTCTATCGGTTTTACTAGCACTTTACGACGTTTTATGTAAAAACTGCCTTTTCGATCAAGTTCAGTAACATAATACGACTGACGAACTCTTTCTACACCAGTTAGTTTGTCCGGAAAACGAAACGTGAAATTCCACTCAACTCCCAAGATAAGATTGTATATTAGTGAACGAAGATACACTGAATCTGAGTAGATCGAATTATGACTTTTTAAAGCTTCTATACTACAGACAAATACTGAACCACAAGATAAAATACTATCCAAAAATATTGGAACTATCAGATACTTCCGAAATGCGTCTAGCAACATTTCAGGCCAATAAGATGTTACTTTATATGATGTGGTATCAACATATTCATTATTGGTAGTGTGTATACGAATCCGATCATCGATATCTTCATCTGCTTTATCATTTTTGATATTTAACAACTGACTATCATCAATACACCCGTCAGTTTCAGAAGGGCATGAAGAATCAGATGCAGACGAATGATGCAAAAATGACGAATATGTGCTACAACTATCTGATTCCGCATCAAATTTCTTCTCCCTACACAGCACATCATCATGCATAGACAAAGATGGAAGATATTTTGCAAAAATCAGATATAATGATTCTGGATCAGTTCTGTAACTTTGTATGCTTTGTGTCAACTCACTATACCGTTTAGAACGTTCATCTTTTGGATATCTATCTAATATACGATTAATTGGCTCTTGAGTGTTGGCTCCAAAGTCTGATAACCATTTAATAAGACTGGTTATCAAATTTCTGCGACGTTTCATTTTCATTTCTCTGCTTGCAGCCTTGTTCAGAAATGTTGTCTTTCCATGAGATACTGGTAATGCTTTTAGAAATTTTTCTGAATTGATATAATCATTTCCCAGTAAACTTGCTAACAGTGGTCGTTGAACATCTGGCAGTCCTCTCAAACCTGATCCATTAGGAAGAAACCTTTGACAGTTCAAATAAGCGCATATTTTATTCTGACGTCGACAACAAGTACTACATTTAACGGAGTTGATGACTGGTTCAAAGGAAATATAAGTCATTGGTAAAAAGCAGACACCTTCTGCATTACTTGGTATGGTAATATAAAAGTCCGAATCATTACTTATGACTGGACATTGTAAATAAATGCCTAGACTTATTACATCTTGATCTGATTCTCCGTCAGAGGTAATATAATCAACTTTTAAATTTTCCAGTGACTGAACCAGAGTAATAGTAGCTAAAGGTGGTAAAATTTGTACACATAATGAAATATCAGCTGGGCATAAATTATGATGATCAATTTGTTTTAATAAATTCCGACACGTCTGCATTCGTTGATGATTTCTTTTCACTTGTGTACTTAACTTGAAAGGCTGAAAACAAGTAGAGTTAAAAATAAATCTAATTTTAGAAATTCGACATGCCCTACTCAACGTTATAGATCACATAAGGATACACATGTACAATAGTAGTCAAAAGTAGTCACGAGATTAACAGGTCAGTGTAAAACCTCCAATAGAAGTTCAATTAGACATATTTCAATACAATAGCACAGAAAGTGTTGTTATTATGGTTAACGAACATGTAACGTAGAAAAATATAATACAGTCAGGGGTAAATGAAAACGTTCACAATCTTAACAATAAAAAGTGAATACAACCACATTACTAAAATCGATTCTGCGTCTTATTGATGAAAATCTTCATCTTCTGATGTTGAATACCGTAGAGAACTGCTGGAACCAAGCAAACCAAAACTCACCTAGCTACATATGCTGAAGGAGAAAACTGGCTAAATTCGCACAATTTCGATGTCATCACATCCCATCAAAATCAAACAGAGATAAAGAAAATAAATACGTTACCACAACTTAAGCCAGTGCGGGGGAGAGAATAATTACATGAAGAATGAAGACCTGATGAGTCTGAGACACCAAAAGGAATTAATGCATTTAGGCCACTGAGAACGATTTTGAGCCAACAGTCTCAAGCTGTTAAGTTTTCAGAATCTCAATAAACCCAGACAGTCTATACTTCTTTACGTGGCTCAAATCAACAGACAAAGACTTCATGGGTTGATGCCATCGTTTGGTCTTCTTTTCCCTTTGTGTGTATCTCTGCCCTGCTGCAGAGAAAAAGCCTGAGACACGAATAACAACTTTCTATTTCCTACCAAGACACTCATGCAGTAGAATAACACTAGTTTCGGAACAGTACAATGTAAATATAATAAGTAGTTTTGGATGGGAATATGTAAGCAAAAAATTGTTCAATAGTCATTTCATGATACCCCTAAATTTACACAAGTAATCATATCTCTTTGATCGTTATGTCAATGGAGATCTAGTAGAGATCTCGACGAAAATATGGAGTAAAAGCATTGGTGCTTCTGGGACCTGTTCTCTAGCATATCATTTAAAGGTGTCGTCTATCTATTTTAATTGCTTCGTGGTACAACCAACCATCAATGGCATTATGTTAGCATCTACTGAGACGTGATAACTTCTGTCTGTTTAGAGAGATAATAGAATAAGAAGCGTAATACAGGAAAAATATTTAAACCACAAATATTGATTTCAGCGTTAACCGAGAAATTAGCAAAAGTGCGCGAGGAAACTTAGAAATCTATACCAAGAATCTTTAGAGATAAACTGTGTTATGAATAGGTTGGCGAATTCGGATGACATCCAGGCGTTTGATCCTTACTAAGTGAAGTGAAATTCGAATTCGCCACTAAGTGTTTGGGGATAGACTAATTAAACCAGTGAGACATTTGAATGAATGCAGGTTATGTTAGGCGACAGTACTTCGCAAAAGGCTTATCAGAAGATTGCAGTACTATTGGTCTGAGTTTCTTAGGTGTTGGCATTTGATATAAAAACTTACCTAAAGCATAAAGAGAATCAATACTTAAGCATACTTCTAAAATTTAGGTCAAAAGGACAGTGCAATACTTGCTTTTTTCGGCAGTCCATCAGTATATTATGACACCATTTAAAAACTGTAAATAAAGCTAGGTCGAGAAAACCAAATATATTACGTTCAACTTACTTCATGACACCCATCAAACACAAAGATAGGATTAACGTTACATCGTCTTAGTGAGCAAATGAAACGATTGATTGTCCCACTGAATCCCATATATTCCCCATTAAATTGAGTATATATTCCGGATTTGAAATACAAGAAATTTAAAAAATTATGTGCGTCAATAATAACGTTTGTGTTGTGAAGTTCATATTCACCAAAATTACCCGGATCGCTTTGTAAGTACGTTGTTAAACCATGCACACCCATGTTGACTGTGATGACAATAATTAGGGGAAATTACTTCAACTTCGCATTATTTCACTTTTTCAATGTCTACGATAACTTTGTTGAACACTTGACAAAAAGAATAGAAATTTTAACAAGCAATTCATATACGCGTACATAGATATTTCAATAGAAAAAGTAAGAAGTGGATAATTTAATGTTATTTGTAATAATGAAACATATTTACATGGAGAAAATCAACTCAATTGTACAAGCTGCTCTATAACGTTGGTAAATGACGACAAAGAGATAAGAATTGTTTATAGTGCATTAAAAAGTTCTCACACATTTCGATCTTAGTGCCAACTGACTCCATATCTCCAATTTGATAGCGTTTACGAGGTGGTTCTAACATTGGCTGGACTTCAAGTGAATCCGCTCCAGGACAATCACCAATTTGACGATAACGTAGTCACCATCATGAAATTAACGTATTTTGGATCTAGTGAAAAACCGCTTTCATTGCCTCTATCATTATACTTATCTTCACGAAATAACTGAGTTTCAATATAACCAAGAGCATAAGACAGTAGAATAGTGGTCAAACTATTCATACGAACAACTGTATTAATGTACGCTTTCCTAAAGTATTCTTGTTAGAGCAAAAGAAGCAAAACTCCATTCAACATTTTTCAGTAAATTGAAGGTAGCATCATCTTCAGTCAATGGTTCACTTAACAAGGGTTGTTTCGGAAGTTGTCTAAGAAATTCTAATTTATCCAAAGTAGCGGGGAACGTAGTCGGGAACTTCTTTTTAAACAACACACTGCTGAGACTCATTTTTTATATTTGATATCTATGAATGAAAAGAGTGCTTGTTAACAAAAGTAGTCAGTTAGGAAGAGTAAAGTAAAACAGAATGCTCAAATTGGTATAGCAAGCATTTATTATTCAACAAAACGACTTTGTGTTTGCACTATACTGTCTTTTAAATCAGTAACATTTGGAGTTAACTCATAATTGGCTATAACGATTCCTCTTCTAGGCGCTGGAGTATAATCACCTCTTAAACCGATGTAATGAATTCGCGTTGTATCACCTCCATAATTGGTCTTCACGTGAATGTTCAGGGTATGAACATTAGAAAAGCGTGCAACTTTCAAAGGATAAATTACTTCACCATTTGGATCGACAGTTAGTTCAAGAATTTGCTCGCATTCAGTCTGTTCTCTATAAATTAAATTGCTTACAATACAAATCAACTTACATCTGTATCTTCAAAAGTCATGAATGGTTTATTTTTATACAACGATACTCGACTTGGATGCTGCTCTGTATCTTCACCAGCTATGATAATACTCATTAACTTTACATTTCCGGTGAATGGTATGTTAAAAAGTAATTCCTGATCAGCATCACTTTCGACATAAACACTTGAATCTTTACGATCCTGAATGCAGATATGGAAGTGAAACTAGTAAAAATATTGTAGGCATACCTCATATGGTTTAAAAACAAGTTTGCCACTTCCAGAAACAGATTCGTTTAGACACTCTACATTCTGCACATCAATAAACTTGTACAGACTGAATGATGAAGATTCATCACTTTTGTGAGAATGACAACAGTGGCCACTACTGCCTCCACTATTATGGTCACACATTTACTCACTGAAAGGAAATACAGATGTTACTGTGAAAGTGATAGACAAATTTTAATAGAATGAATCAAGCGTATTAACTTTTGTATCGATATATTGTAGTGTAACGTTGTGAGGCACACTAAACGGTCCACAGTCCACACCAGAAGTTTTGCCTTCGAAATGCCATGGAGCACGTACTGTACTCATCCACAAAACTGCATGTGAACAATTTAACTTATCCTACGCTAAAGCCTCAGGCGACTGCCGTTTCCAACAGATACACGAATCAACTAAGTTCGTCGGAAGCGCTGATGATGTATTGCGAGCAGTACATGGCGCTCCGATTCCAAAATAAACTGAAACTAGGTTTTCAATCACCTTAAATTCTCCAAAGGTGAGATTACACTATTTACTAGAGATAAATGGATAGGGTATGTTACCTGATAAGGTGGTAGGATAAAACATCGAGTTTCACCATACTGTTTTATCCTCAAGACAATTGAAATCGTTTGCTGTGTTTCAACACCTAATTTTAGAACTGCTCCAATCCGCATGTGACACAATAAGCCAGCACAACCACAGTTTGAAATATGAATTAATCGTCTGCTTTGATGTGGAGATGTTTATGTGTTCCAATAATCCACAGACAAAAGATGTTAAAATGACTTCTAATACCATTATGCTGAGACAGATAGAGACACAACAGAACGAGAGTTGACATTTGTGGATGAATATGTACTGCTTTTTGGACAGTGGTCACGAAGACTAGCACCCTAGCTGTGCTGCCTTTCAACTCTGAAGACGATATACCGTGAAAGACTAGTCGTTATAACGAGATAATCTTCAGAGTTTTGGGTTGTCGGAAGAAAGGTTATTTTTGAGAACTCTTCTGACAGCGGATTCTAAAACTTAGCCAAACAAAAATATAATAGAACCTGCACAGAACAACAGAATGAAAACAGGTGAACACACTTAGCAAGAACAATACTTCGGACTGCTTTCAGAAAAGGGAAACTGAGCGGATTGCAGCATGTTGGAAACTGATTTTGATTACGAGTCATATCTGATGATGTTTCAAGCCAACGAGTCGCATGACCTTTCAGAACTGTGATGCGTAGTCCCATACTAACCAAACAACCTACACTTAACCCATGGTGCCAAGTCAAGAGCCGACCAACTCCTTGCTTTCCATTCAATCCAAAGGCTACGCGAAAAGTGAATACCGTGATTTTCAGACACTGAGAAATATGTTGAGTCACATCACCGACAGCTTCGAGCCATTGGTTCTTTGAGTCCGTGAACAAAATGAAATCTACTGGAATGACATTTGTAGTAAATTACTTGGTCACTGAAACTACTGTGCCAAGATGGCATTACTCATTGAAAGACGATTCCCCCAATGTCCAAAAAGACTGTCGGTCCTAAAAATTACTTGCAGGATGATTCCACTGCATGCAAGCAATTCTGCAGAGATACT